CCTTTTTCCTGGTGGCATGCACCTGGAATGTCATATTTCGCCATTTTTTCTCTTAATATGCATGCCCAAGAAGCTGCTTCTCCCTGGGGCCTGCATTCAATCCACACTTTTAATATTAACGTGTGGACCATCAGGAGATTGCCTCTCCCGTGCTACCAAATTATCATTTTTAGGGGGACAATGTGATCATTGCTGAACCATCAGGTGACATTCCTGTTGGTTGGGGGAAAGCCCTTTACTGCCCTGCTCATTGCCTATGTAACTAACTGTAACAACTTTGCTTTTTCATGTATGACTGTTGCATCAGGCAGATTTTGAAGAAGGATGAATGTTTCTACAAATTCAAAAACAGGTGACAAAAGTGACATCAGTGAAAATGGTGCAGTAGACACTTTCTGTTAGTCCATCTCTCCAGAAAAGCAACTCAAAACAATTAATAATGTATAATTAGAAGATCATTTTCTCAGCACGATATATGGGGCATTTATTAAAAACCTACAGCTAACAATATAGTCAAGAGGGAAAGACTGAAAGCTTTGCTTCTAAAATCATGAAGAGAAGAACATCCACTTTTGCCACTTCTATTGAACATTATACTTAAAATTCTAGCCCGGGGCATCAGGCAATGAAGCTATATAAAAGACAACCCAATTGAAAAGAAAAAATTGAAATTATTTCTCTTCACAAATGCGATGATCTTATAAAAAATGCTTAAAAATCCAGAAAAAAAACAATATTAGAGCTAGTGAACAGTATCTCGCAAGCACAGCAGGATAGTACATTAACTCGGAAAAATCAGTTGTAGTTTTATTTGTGTACACTAGTAATGAATAATCTGAAAATTAAGAAAGCAATTCCCTTTACAATAGCATCAAAATGAATCATATTTTTAGGACAATAGTTAATAGATGAAAGTCTTATACATTGAAAATCACAAAATATTGTAGAAGAAGTTAAAGATAACCCTGATTTTAAAAAAGGACATCCCGTGGTAATGGGTTGGAAGACAAAATATTTTTAACATACCAATACTACCCATTGAGATCTATAAATTTAATGCAATCCTTATTATTATCCCCATGAGCATTGGTTGTTTTTGTACAAAAGGAACACAAATTCTAAAGATCCTGTTAAATTGCAAGAGATCTGATAACCAATGTAAAGTTTGAGTAAGAAAAATCAAGGCGGAAGAGTCACACTTCTAGATTTCAAAACTTACTAGAAAAGCTAGAATAATCAAAGCAGTGTGATAATTAAGTAAGAATACACACAGTGATTAATGGAAGAGATGGAGAGTCTGGAAATAAACCCAGACATTGTCGTCAATTCATTTTTGACAAAGTTATTAAGGTCATTTCATGAGTAGTTAATAGAGTCTTTAACAAATAGTACTTAGACAACTGGTTATGCACATGCAAAAGGATGAATTTAGGCTGGGCACAGTGGCTCACGCCTGTAATTCCAGCACTTTGGGAGGCCGAGGCAGGCGGATCACTAGGTCAGGAGATCCAGACCATCTTGGCTAACACGGTGAAACCCCGTCTCTACTAAACAATTAAAAAAAAAAAAAAATAGCTGGGCGTGGTGGCGGGCACCTGTAGTCCCAGCTACTTGGGAGGCTGAGGGAGGAGAATAACGTGAACCCAGGAGGCGGAGCTTGCAGTCAGCCGAGATTGCACCACTGCACTACAGCCTGGGAGACAGAGCGAGACTCCATCTAAAAAAGAAAAAAAAAAAAAAATGCAAAAATTATCAGGTGTAGTGGCATGTGCCTGTAATCCCAGCTACTGGGGAGGCTGAGGCAGGAGAATCGCTTGAACCCAGGAGGCAGAAGTTGCAGTGAGCCGAAATTGCCCCACTGCATTCGAGCCTGGGCAACAGAACAAGACTCCATTTAAAAAAAAAAAAAAGAGAGAGAGAGAGAGATATCAAAAAGATAACCAATGGAAGAAATTTGAAAACACCTTAAGTGAAAGAGACAAGACTAAAAAGACCACTTACTGAGATGATCAGTAGTGAGGGAAAGTAGATGAATGTTTGTCAGGGGCTGGGCAGGAGCGGAATGGGGAATGACTGCTTAATGGGTCCAGGGTTTTCTTTTGTGGTAATGAAAATGCTTTGCCAATAGATAGAGATAGTGGTTGCACTGCATTGTGAATGTACTAAATGCCACTGAATTTCACACATTTTAATGGTTAATTTTATGCTATGTGAATTTTACCAACTCAGTTTTAAAAAGTGCCAATACTTTTAAAGCTGTCATTATTTCCATGAATAATTAATTCTATTTGAAAAGTACTCAAGTTATCAGTGAAGAAAACTTGTTTTAACTATTATACTACAAGGTGGCCTGATATGGTGCCTCATGCCTCTAATCCTAGCACTTTGGGAGGCTGAGATGGGAGCGTCACTCTAGTCCAGGAGTTCCAGATCAACCTGAGCAACATAGCTAAGCCCCGTATATAAAATTTAAAAAAATAAATAAATAAAAAACAGTTATACTACAGGGGAATTTGAACATTAATTTATAAAAGTTGGTATTATGTGTGCATAGGCAAGAGTGATTATATCTTCTATGTTTGACCTACTGTGTGGTTTCTACTTTATAATTTCTTAAACTTCTCCTAGAGTAAAATATGAAAAAATTACAAGCACTGAAAAGTATATATTGATGTAGATATATTCAATGAGTATAAGGTGATACTGAAGATTTTGTACAAAATTTCAAGCATTAGGCATCCAATTATATTTAAACTGTGTCGAGTGTGTGTGTATTTATATCTGTCTGTAGGTATATTACAAAATTTTAAATGCTGTATATGTATGACTTTTTAGACAGTGTCTCACTCTGTTGCCCAGGCTGGAGTGCAGTGGTATGATTATGGCTCACTGCAGCATCAACCTCCCTGGGCTCAGGTGGTCCTCCCACCTCTGCCTCCTATGTAGCTGGGGCTTCCATTGCATACCACCATGCTCACCTATTTTTTGTATTTTTTGTATAGACAAGGTCTCACTATATTGCCAGGGCTGACCTTGAACTCCTGGGCTCAAGCTATCCACCTGCCTTGGCCTCCCAAAGTGCTGGGATTACAGTTGTGAGCCACTATGCCTGGCCAATGCCATACATTTTTAATCATGGTAGATGTTATAATGAGTATATGTTTGAAAATGACATTTTTGGCCAACAAATTCTTATCTTCAATTCATCGTTATATAAACAGAGACACTAATGAAGCATTCTAGCTGCATGTGAGTGGTGTGAATGCATCCATTTTACAGCTTTCTTTTTCTGTTTGTTTGTTTGTTTGTTTGTTTTTTGTTTTTGTGAGACGGAGTCTCACTCTGTAGCCCAGGCTGGAGTGCAGTGGCATGATCTTGGCTCACTGCAACCTCTGCCTTCCGGGTCCCGGTTCAAACAATTCCCCTGCCTCAGCCTCCCAAGTAGCTGGGATTACAGGTATGCGACACCATTCCCAGTTAATTTTTGTATTTTCAGTGGAGATGGGGTTTTACCATGTTGGCCAGGCTGGTCTTGAACTCCTGACCTCGTGATCCACTCGCCTCGGCCTCCTAAAGTGCTGGGATTACAGGCATGAGCCACTGTGCCTGGCCATACAATTTTCTTAGGTTACACATCTAGGTGACTGAATGTGTGAGATGCCTATTTCAACTACAATTTATTGAATTTTGTTATCTTTCTTTGAAGGTTTTAAAGATAAAGTTTTAAGGTAAGAATCAGGAATAAGAATTCTAGAAGAATTAAAAATTCTAATTTTCAGAGGTATAAGTATGTATTATACATCTGTTTATATTGTAGATAAATATGTATTTATATGTTTATGTATGTTCAAATATATATATTTTTTAGCCAGGCACGGTGACTCACTCCTGTAATCCCTGCACTTTGGGAGGCCAAGGCGGGCAGATTACCTGAGGTCCAGAGTTCGAGACCAGCTTGGCTAACATGGCAAAACTCCGTCTCTACTAAAAATACAAAATTAACTGGGCATGGTGGCGCACACCTGTAGTCTCAGCTACTCCGGAGGCTGAGGCAGGAGAATCCCTTGAGCCCGGAAAGTGGAGGTTGCAGTGAACCAAGATGGTATCACTGCACTCCAGCCTGGGAGACAGAGTGAGAATCCATCTCAAAAAGAAAATTAATATATTTATATATATTTATATATGTATATGTATTTTTTAGATTTAAAAGTGAAAATTGAGAACTTATGTTTTCATGAATAGTCCAAATAAGAAGTTCTTTGCAAATATTTTATTGTCTAAAATTCAGATATTGCAATTTTTTATGAGAATATCAAAAACTCCTCAGCAATCAGATGTGAAACTTTTAATTCTTCAACCTTATGTATAGCTAAATTCAATTAAAATGTAAATTTATTGTGTGTTTGACTGTATACATAGAACTTTTTATCTGTATATTGAAAAAATGGGAGTAAATATGGAAATGGTTATCAGTGTTTAATATATAGTTTTATGACATTGCTTTTCTCTTCATCAGCATATGGTTACTTTTTTACTTTGCAAGTTCCATGTCTTTGTTACTAATGAGAAAATATAGGACTGATTCCTAATGAAAAAGAGTAAGACATATACACAACGAAGTCATAGGACACAGTCTTAAGTCATAGCCATTTAATGACACTGGAAAATATTTCTGTTCCAATGTTAAATAATGAAACCATGAGACAAAATTCTGTGATCCATCTGATTAGAATTTATAGTCATTCCCATATTTTTGTCCATTCAACTAGGGCTGTGTGTGTTTTGTCAGGCTGGAGAGCTACCCGAACCCTTATGTTAGAGCCCTACTAAATATTGGCCTCCCTCTCAACATATAAGGCCTAACGACTAGGTCAGATCGTGCGGTAAAACTCCTAGGGAACCTGGGTAGGGAGTCAGGACAAGAATCACATGGCCTGGTGCCTAGATTTGCTCTTCTGAAAGACCTTAGGGGTAAGACTTTTTTTTTCTTCTCTCCTTAGGCATGGAAGCCTAAGGTTTGTCTCCAAAACTATAAGACTATTTGACATCATAATAAAACACTGCAGATATGATGCTGAGTAAGAGTGGAAATGGGAAGACTTGGTTGTGCAGTAACTGAGTTCTTGAAAAGAGGAAATGCTTGATGAGGGTGAGTGGATTACATAACTGTTTAATATCCAATGGAAACCAAAAGAAAATGGCTAAGTGGAACATGTTTACATGAATTGAGCAAAATATTGGGTAGCCATAGTTTCTGGTGTCTTTGTTTCTTCTTGGCCTTCTTTTTGAAACGTGTAGTCATGTATGTGTAAACATTCAAACAAAAAGTTGATAGTGTCTACTTTACTAAAGTAATATTCTTGAGGCTGTATTTTAAGATTTACCTTTATTTGCCAGGCGCAGTGGCTCATGCCTATAATCTCAGCACTTTGGGAGGCCGAGGCTGGCCGATCACGAGGTCAGGAGTTCGAGACCAGCCTGGCCAACATAGTGAAACCCTGTCTCTACAAAAATACAAAAATTAGCAAGGTGTGGAGGCACACACCTGTAATCCCAGCTACCTGGGAGGCTGAGGCAGGAGAATCACTTGAAACCAGAAGGTAGAGGTTGCAGTGAGCCGAGATCGTGCCTCTGCACTCCATCCTGGGCGAAAGAGTGAAACTGTCTCAAAAAAAAAAAAAAAAAAAAAAAAAATTTACCTTTATTTACATTGAAGGTGTGAAATGTTGAAAAATAAGACTTAGTACTGTGGACATTCAAATGAATTCGTGCTCTCAAAGGTTTCTTAAAATACACATTTGGTCTGATCCAAACCACAGTGTACTCAGTAATCCACTTTTAATATAGATTTATTTTTTGCTGAAATTAACAATGTACTTATTGAGAGATATGAATGGAAATAATCCAAAAGTTCATGAGTTGCCTTGACAAGTTGTATGGTAGTGGTTTTCTTCGTTATTAATACATGGACTATTCTTAATATTTGTCAAGCATTATTCTTTAACTTACTATTTGGAAAATACTGTAATCCTTATACCTAAAAGACAAATTATAAAACTCTCAGAGAAACACACAATTATAAACACACACAGCCCATAAAGTCTCAAGAAATACTTGAAGAATATGTGATGGCATGGGCACGTGCTGTGTTTTGATGTTAAACGATGAGACCATTAGATGAAACTCAGAGTAACCTTGACAGGAATTGAACATATGTACTTTGAATATATATGGCATGCAGTGATGAGCATCACCTGGTTTCTTCTCTAGTGGCTCATGCCAAATTCTTGCCTACAATGCACCACAGAAGACGCATAAGGCTCTCAGAATAGGGAGAACTCCCTGGATGTCTCACAGGGGAGCCAGGTCAAAGAACTCTGGGATTTTTAAATTGTTTGCAGGAGAAGATCTTTTCCGCTTTCAGCCCTTTTCTCCTTTTTGTGCGTTCACCCACCGAATTTATCCGCTGAGATGGTTTGATGCCACGGAAATTACTGGACCTGTAACTCTGAAGCAAATAAAACTAACACAGACTAGCTCAGGAGACTACGTAATTTTTGAAAGAACAAGATTCCTGATGAGGGCAGCTGGTTTAGGCCTTGGTTTGATTTCTTTTCTTTCTTTCTTTCTTTTTTTTTTTTTTATTTGAGACGGAGTTTCTCTCTTGTTGCCCAGGCTGGAATGCAATGGCACGATCTTGCAACCTCTGCCTCCCGGGTTCAAGCGATTCTCCTATCTCAGCCTCCCGAGTATCAGGGATTACAGGTATGCGCCACCACGCCCGGGTAATTTTGTATTTTTAATAGAGATGGGGTTTCTCCATGTTGGTCAACCTGGTCTCGAACTCCCGACCTCAGGTGATCTGCCCTCCTTGGCCTCCCAAAGTGCTGGGATTACAGGCGTGAGCCACTGCGCCCGGCCTTTGGGTTGATTTCAAGTTGAAAATCAAAAGAAAAAGTGCAGCAATAAGACCAGCAAGCTCCAAACTGCAAGATATAAGGCTTCCAGGTTTGGAACGCCTTTATTTATGGGTGGCTTTTTTTTGAGGCAAGAAGGGCGGGAGAAGAGGACTCTGAAACAGGGTTTCTTCCTATATCTGGAGCCATACTGCCATCGCGAGGATGTCGTTTAAAAGAAAAAATCCTTCTGCCATTACAGGGTTCTTCCCGTGAGGACTACCTGTTGGGGAAAGTCTGATCTGTGGGAAGGTGGAAAAGGCTTGGGCTCCATTCTAGGTAGGAGTCCTTGTCTTCTCATCTAAGGCCTTAAAAGAGAATTGGATATTGGCGGTATCTTGGTGTAGAACCTGGAGAGTGAACATTCTGAAAGCAAATCCTGTAAACTTCCCCTGGAATAACCCTGTTCTATGTGCGCGGTACTGATGCTACCAGAGACCCAAAGATCCATAGCCAGCACGAGAACGTTGGCTGACTCTGGCTCCAAGGGACAGGAAGAAGAGACAGATGCCCGCAAGAGCCTCCAAGCGTCTTTGGGAGGGTTCCTGCAGTCCTGCCTACACCAGGAGGAACCGAGGCCCCGCCCCACGACTTCCTGTGCCGGGACCGCCTGGCGGCTGCTGGTTTACTCCAAGTCCATCACACTCCAGGTTCTACACCAAGATACCGGCAGCGTTAAGGTCTCTCTTCAGGCCTTAGAGGAGAAAGCAAGAAGACCTGGAGCCCAAGCGTCTACCACCTCCCACAGTTCAGACTTCTCCCCACAGCGAATCTTTCCGGGAAGGACGCTGTAATGGCGTATTATACCTTTATACGATTTCCTCACGGTGGCAGTAGTGCTTCACATTTTCAAGAAATCCCTATCTTGGAGTCCTTTTCTCCCGCCCTTCTTGTCTGAAAAAACGCCACCCAGAGACAAAGGCGCCACCCAATATGGCTGCCTGGAGATTTGTCCAGTTTGGTGCAACCTGGTCTTACTGTTGAATTTTCGCTTTTTTTTTTTTTCCCCATCTCTAAACAAAATGAGGCCTAAACCACCCATGCTCATCAAGAATCTTGTTCTTTCAGAAATTAAATATACTGCTCATTGAGTCTATCTGGGTATGATTTACCTCACACAGTTACAGGTCCTGGAAATTGCATGGCGTAGTGTCTCCTTCAGGTGATAAATTGGGTGGATGAAGGTACAACAACGAAGATAGATATCAGATGGATAGATAACCAATGCAAGAAATTTGGAACATGCTAAGTGAAAGAAGGAAAACGAAAAAGGCCACTTACTCTGATTTCAGTAGTGAGGGAAAGCAGATGAGTGTTTGCCGGGGGCTGGGCAGAGAGTAGAATGGGGAATGACAACTTAATGAGTCCCGGGTTTTATTTTGTGGTAATGAAAATGATTTGCCACTAGATAGTGGTAATGCTCGCAGTGCATTGTGAATATACACTCAATTTCACACATTTTAATGATTAATTTTTTGTTTTACGAATTTTACAAATTCAGTTTTTAAAAGTGCCAATACATTTAAACGTATCATTATTTCCATGAATAATTAATTATATTTGAAAAGTATTCAAGTTTTTAGTGAAGAAAACTTGTTTTAACAGATATACTACAAGGCAGCCAGGCTCGGTGCCTCATGCCTGTAATACTAGCACTTCGGGAGGCAGAGTTGGGTGCATCGTTTGAGGCCAGGAGTTCGAGATCAGCCTGGTCAACGTAGCGAAACCCCATATCTAAAATTTAGGAAAAAAAAAAAAAAGAAGAAGGAAAAGAACCAGTTACACTACAGGGGAATTTGAACATTAGTTTATAAAGTTCATATTATATGTGCATAGGGAAAATTGATTATTTCTTCTCACTGTGGTTGACCTATCGTATGTTTTCTGCTTTATAATTTCTTAAAGTTCTAGAGTAAAATATGAAAAAAATTCAAACACTGGAAAGTAAATATTGACGTAGATATATTCAGAGTATAAGGTGATGCTGAAGATTTTGTAGAAAATTTCTAACAATATGAATTCGATTATATTTAAACTGTGTCGAGTGCGTGTGTATCTGTCTGTAGGTATATTACAAAATTTTAAATGCCATCTATATATTTTTTATATATATATATATATATTTTTTTAGACAGTGTCTCACTCTGTTGCCCAGGCTGGAGTGCAATGGCATGATCATGGTTCACTGCAGCATCAACCTCCCTGGGCTCCGGTGGTCCTCCTACCTCCATTACCTAAGTAGCTGGGGTTTCCATTGCAAACCACCATGACCGGCTATTTTTTGTAGAGACGGGGTCTCACTACATTGCCAGGACTAGTCTTGAACTCCTGGGCTCAAGCTATCCACCTCCTTGGCCTCCCAAAGTGCTGGGATTACAGTTGTGAGCCACTGTGCCCAGCCAATGCTATATATTTTTAAGCCTGATAGGTGTTATAGTGAGTATATGTTTGAAGATGGTATTTTTGGCCAACAAATCATGTCTTTAATTCATCATTATATAAACAGAGACACTAATGAAGCATTTTAGCATTGTGTGAATGCATCCATCTTGTAGTTTTCTTAGTTCACACATCAAGGTGTCTGAATGTGAGAGATGCCTATTTCAACTATCATTTATTGAATTTTTTTATCTTTCTTTTAAGATTTCAAAGATCAAATTTTAAGGAAAGAATTAGGAATAAAAATTCTAGAAGAATTAAAAATGTCAGTTTTCAGAGGTATAAGTGTGCATAATACATACGTTTATATTGTATATAAATATGTATTATGTTTATATGTGCATAAATATATTATACTTAAAAGTGCAAATTGACTACTTATTTTTTGTTTTGAGATGGAGTCTCACTCTATGGCAGAGGATAGAGTGCAGAGGCATAGTCTCTGCTCACTACAACCTCCACCTCCCCTGTTCAAGCGATTCTACTGCCTCAGCCTCCTGAGTAGCTGGGATTACAGGTGCCTGCCACTACACCCAGCTAATTTTTGTATCTTTAGTAGAATCTGGTTTCACCATGTTGGCCAGGCTGGTCTCTAACTCCTGTCCTCGTGATCCACCCGTCTTGGCCTCCCAAAGTGCTGGGATTACAGGCGTGAGCCACCGCAACCGGCCGAGTACTTATGTTTTCATGAATAGTCCAATCAAGAAGTTCTCTGCAAATATTTTATTGTCTAAAATTTAGCTATTGCAAATTTTTTATGAGAATATGAAAAACTCCTCAGGAATCATATGTGAAACTTTCTTCAACCTTATGTATAGCTAAATTCAACTAAAATATTAGTTTATTGTTGTGTTTTTTCTTTTTATACTTTAAGTTCTAGGGTACATGTGCACAACGTGCAGGTTTGTTACATATGTATACATGTGCCATGTTGGTGTGCTGCACCCATTAGCTCGTCATTTACATTAGGTATAAACTGTATAGATCGAACTTTGTCTCTGTGTTGAAAACATGGGAGTAAATATGGAACTGTTTGTGTGTTTGTTTGTTTTTGAGACAGAGTCTCGCTCGGTTGCCCAGGCTGGAATACAGTTACGTGATCTCAGCTCACTGCAACTTCCGCCTACTGCGTTCAAGCAATTCTCCTGCTTCAGCCGTCCTAGTAGCTGGGACTACAGGCATGTGCCACCATGCCCGGCTAAATTTTTGTATTTTTAGTAGATATGGGGTTTCACCATGCTGGCCAGGCCGGTCTCAAACTCCTGACCTCGTGATCTGCCCGCCTCAGCCTCCCAAAGTTCTGGGATTACAGGTGTGAGCCACCATGCCTGGCGCATAATACAGAACTGTTTATCAGTGTTTAATACACAATGTTATGGCATTGCTTTTCTCTTGATCAGCATATGGTTATTTTTATCTTCTTTGCAAGTTCCACGGCTTTGTTAATAACGAGAAAATATAGGACTGATTCCTAACTGAAAAACAATAAGACACATACAAAACAAAGTCACAGAACACAGTCGTAAGTCACAACCTTTTAATGACACTGGAAAATATTTCTGTTCCAATGTTAAATAATGAAGCCATGAGACAAAATCCTATGATCCATCTGATTAGCATTTATAGTCATTTGTGTATTTGTGTCCATTCAAATAGGGCTGTGTGTGTCTTGTCAGGCTGGAGACCTCTCCGTACCCTTATGTTAGAGCTCCACTGCATATCGGCCTCCCCCTCAACATGTAAGGCCTACTGCCTAGGTCAGATATGGAGTAGAACTGCCAGGGAACCTGGGTAGGGAGTCAGGACAAGAACCACATGACCTGGTGTCTAGATTTGCTCTTCTCCAAGACCTTAACGGTAAGCTTTTTTCTCTTCTCTCCTTAGGCATGGATCACTAAGGTCTGTTCCCAATAGGAGAAGACTATTTGACATCATAATAAAACACTGCAGATATGATGCTGAGTGAAAAAGAGTAGAAATGGGAAAACTTGGTTGTGCAGAAACTGAGTTCTTAAAGAGAGGAGATACTTTATGAGGGTGAGTGGATAACCTCTCAGTTTAATAGCCAATGGAAACCAAAAGCAAATGACTAAGAGTGGAGTATGTTTACACAAATTGAGCAAAATGTTAGGTAGTCATAGTTTCTGGTGTCTTTGTATCTTCATGGCCTTTTTATTGAAGCATGTAGTGATGTATCTGTAAACATTCAAACAAAAAGCAGATAGTGTCTACTTTTCTAAGGCAATATTCCTGAGGCCCTATTTTAAGATTTACCTTTATTTATATTGAAGGCGTGAAATGTTGACATATAAACTTAGTACTGTTGACATTCTAATGAATTCACGCATCTGAAAGATTCGGTAAAATACACACTTGGTCTTATCCACACCACAGTGTGCACAGTAATCCACTTTTAACACATTTATTTTTTGCATGAAATTAACAATGTATGTACATATTGAAAGATATGCATGGAAATAATCCAAAAGTTCATGAGTCGCCTTGACAAGTTGTATGGTAGCAGTTTTCTTCATTATTAATACATGGATTTTTCTTAATCTTTGTCAAGCATTATGCTTTAATTTACTAGTTGGAGAGTACTGCAATCTTTATACCTAAAAGACAAGTTATAAAACTCTCAGAGACACACACAAACACAAACACGAACACACACACCCCATAAATTCTCAGGAAATATTTGAAGAATATGTAATGACATAGTGACATGCGGTGTTTTGATGTTAAATCATGAGACCATGAGATGAAACTCTGAGCCACGTTGACAAGAATTAGACATAGGTGCTATGAGTGTCATGTCATTTGGACTATATATGGCATGCGGTAATGAGCGTAACCTGGTTTCTCTTCTAATGACTCATGCAAAATTGTTGCCTACAATGCACTACAGAAGGCTCTTAGAATACGAAGAACTCCCTGGATGTCTGATCAGGGAGCCAGGTCCAAGACCTCTGGGATGCTTTTTGTTTTGTTGTGTTTTGTTTTGTTTTTTGAGACCAGTCTTGCTCTGTTACCCAGGCTGGAGCGCAGTGGCGCGATCTTGGCTCACCGCAACCTCCCTCTCCTGGGTTCAAACAATTCTCCTACCTCAGACTCCCGAGTAACTGAGATTACAGACGCCCGCCACCATCCCCAGCTAATTTTTGCATTTTTAGTAGAAACGGGGTTTCAGGGGTTTCACCACGTAGGACAGGCTGGTCTCCAACTCCTGACCTCAGTCATTCTGCCCGCCTTGGTCTCCTGGAATTACAGGCCTGAGCCACCACACCCTCCCGCTTGGGATTTTTAAATTGTTTACTGGGAAAGATATTTTCCATGCTTTCAGCCCTTTTCTCCTTTTTGTGTGTCCATTCACCGAATTTATCCCCTGAAAGAGACAGTTTGATGCCACGGAAATTACTGGTCCTGCAACTCTGAAGTAAATCAAACCCACACAGACTAGGTCATGAGGATATTTCATTTTTGAAAGAACAAGATTCCTGATGGAGGCAGGTGGTTTAGGCCTTGGTTTGATTTCAAGTGCAAAACAAAAAGAAAAAGTGCAGCAGTAAGACCAGCTGGCTCCAAAATGGGCAAAACAGAAGGCATTCATGTTTGGTGGCGCTTTGTCTATGGGTGGCGTTTTTTCAGACAAGAAGGGCGGAAGACCTGGGCTCCAAGACAGGGCTTCTTGGCATATCTGCAGTACTGCTGCCATCGCGAGGAAGTCGTTTGGTGAATCCCTACGCCGTTATTACAGCGTTCTCTGAGGACTACCTGTTGGGGAAGGACTGGTCTGTGGGGAAGTGGAAGAGGCTTGGGCTCCAGGCTGTGAGTCCTTGCCTTTTTGTCTGAGGCCTTAAAAGAGACATGGACATTGGCGATATTTTGGTATAGAACCTGGAGAGTGAAGGTTCTAATAGCAAATCCTGTAAACTTCCCTTGGAATACCCTTGTTGATTTTGCACGGTACTTATGCTACCAGAGACCCAAAGACCCATAGCAAGATGCCAACACGTGAAAGCCTGCTGACCTTGCTCCAAGGGGCAATTGCATAAGACAGATGTCCCCAAGAGCCTCCATTTGTGTTTGAATGGGTTCCTGCAGTCCTGCCCACCCTAGGAACCGAAGTCCCGCCCCACGACTTCCTGTGCCAGGACTGCCTGGCAGCTGCTGCTTCATTCCAAGTCCCTCACTCTCCAGGTTCTACACCAAGATATCGCCAATGTCCAGGTTTCTCTTCAGGAGTTCCAGGAGAAGCCAAGAAGACCTAGCTTGGAGCCCAAACCTCTTCCACTTTCGCACAGATCAGACCTTCCCCCATAGCCAGGCTTCCCCGAAAGAAGCTATAATGGCGTATTGAGTCTTTAAACCATTTCCTCACGGTGGCAGTAGTACTCCATATTTTCAAGGAAGCCCTATCTTGGAGCCCTTTTTTCCCGCCCTTCCTGTCTGAAAAAACGCCACCCAGAGACGAAGGCGCCACCCAACATGGCTGCCTGGAGATTTGTCCAGTTTGGTGCAACCTGGTCTTACTGTTGAATTTTTCCTTTTTTTACTCCGTGTGAAAACAAAATGAGACCTAAACCACTCAGGTTCATCAGGAATCTTGTTCTTTCAGAAATTAAATACACTCCTCACTGAGTCTATCTGGGTATGATTTACTTCACACAGTTACAGATCCAGCAAGTTTCATGGCATAAAATTGTCTCCTTAAGGTGATAAATTGTGTGGATGCAGGTACAACAACAAAGATATCAAAGAGATAGATGACCAATGCATGAAATTTGAACACGCTAAGTGAAAGAAGGAAGTTGAAAAGGGCCACTTATTGTTATGATCAGTAGTGAGGGGAAGCAGATGAGTGTTTGTCAGGGACTGGGCACAGAGAGAGCCCAATGCGGAATGACTGCTTAATGGGTCCGGGGTTTTGTTTTGTGGTAATGAAAATGATTTGCCACTATGTAGTGGTAATGCTTGGATGGCATCTTGAATGTACTAGATACCACTCAATTTCACACATTTTAATGGTTAATTTTATGTTATATGAATTTTACAAACTCAGTTTTAAGAAGTGCCAATACTTTTAAACCTATCATTATAATTATATTAGAAAAGTGCTCAAATTATCAGTGAAGAAAACTTGTTTAGAACAGTAATACTACCAGGTGGCCAGGTGCCTCATGCCTATAATCCTAGCACTTTGGGAGTCCGAGATGGGATGATCGCTTGAGGTCAGGAGTTCGAGGTCAGCCTCGTCAACATAGCGAAACCCGTATCTAAGATAAAAAAATAAAAAACCGCCGGGCATGGTGGCTCACGCCTGTAATCCCAGCACTTTGGGAGGCCGAGGCGGATGGATCACGAGGTCAGGAGATCCAGACCATCCTGGTTAGCACCGTGAAACCCTGTCTCTACTAAAAATACAAAAAAAAAAAAAAAAAAAAAAAAAAAAAAAAAAAAAAATTAGCAGGGCATGGTGGTGGGAGCCTGTAGTCCCAGCTACTCAGGAAGCTTGCAGTGAGCCGGGATCACTTCACTGCACTCCAGCCTGGGTGACAGAGCGAGACTCCATCTCAAAAAAACCAAATCAAACCAAAACATAGCAAAACAAACAAACAAAAGTTACACTACAGAGGAAATTGAACATTAGTTTTAAAAAGTGCATATTATATGTGCATAGGGAAAAGTGATTATTTCTTCTCACTATGTTTGACCTACTATATGTCTTCTGCTTCATAATTTCTTAAAGTTCTTGTAGAGTAAAATATAAAACAATTTCAAGCACTCAAAAGTATATATTGATGTAGATATATTTATTCAAAGAGCATAAGGCGATACTGCAGACTTTGTACAAATTTCAAACATTATGCATCCAATTATATTTAAAGTAAACTGTGTCAAGTGTGTATGTATTTATATCTGTCTGGAGATATATTACAAAATTTTAAATGCCATATATCTATACATATATATACACACACACACACACACACACACATATATATATATGAGACTGTCTCACTGTTGCCTAGGCTGGAGTGCAGTGGCATGATCATGGATCAATGCAGCATCAATCTCCCTGGGATCAGGTGATCTTGCCAACTCTGCCTCCTATACGTACCTGGGGCTTCTGTTGTACCCCACCATGCCCGGTTATTTTTTGTAGACACAGGGTCTACTTACATTGCCAGGGCTGGTATTGAACTCCTGAGCTCAAGCTGTCTACCTGCCTCGGCCTCCCAAAGTGCTGGAATTATAGTTGTGAGCCACCGTGCCTAGCCAAAGCTATAAATTTTTAATCATGGTAGATGTTATACTGAGTATATGTTTGAAGATGGCATTTTTGGTGAACAAATTCACATTTTTAATGCATTGCTATTTAAACAGAGACACTAATGAAGCGTTCTAGCTGCATGTGAGTTTTGTGAGTGCATCCATCTTACAGTTTTCTAAGGTTACACATCTAGGTGACTGAATGTGAGAGATGCCTATTTCAACTATCATTTATTAAATTTTTTTAGCCTTCTTTTGAGATTTTAGAGATAAAATTTTAAGGTAAGAATTAGTAATACAATTTGGAGAATAATTAAAAATCCTTATTTTCATAGGTATAAGTATGTAAAATACATATATATGTTTATATTGTATATAAATATGTATTTGTATGTTTATGTATGTACAAATATACCTATATTAGATTTAAAAGTCCAAGTTGAAAACTTATGTTTTGATGAATAGTCCAAAGAAGAAGTTCTTTGCAAATATTTTATTGTAAAAAATTCAGATATTGCAAATATTTATGAGAATATCAAGAACTCCTCAGGAATCAGATGTGAAAATTTTAATCTTCATCATTATGTATGGCTAAATTCAAGTAAAATGTAAATTTATTGTGGTGGTTGACTGTATATATAGAACTTTTTATCTATATACTGAAAAAGTAGGAGTAAACATGGAAATGGTTATCAGTGTTTAATACGCAGTTTTATGATGTCGCATTTCTCTTCATCAGCAGTTGGTTACTTTTCACTTTGCAAATTCCATGTCTTTGTTACTAATGAGAAAATACAGGACTGATTCCTAACTGAAAAGCAGTAAGACACATACACAACAAAGACGTAGGACACAGTTGTAAGTCATAGCCTTGTAATGACACTGGAAAATATTTCTGTTCCAATGTTAAATGACGAAACTATGAGATAAAATCCTGTGATTCATCTGATTGGGATTTATAGTCATTCCTGTATTTGTGTCCATTCAGCTAGGGTTGTGTGTGTCTTGTCAGGATTGAGAGCTATCTGAGCCCTTATGTTAGAGCCCCATTAAATGACCACTACTCCCTCAACATATAAGGCCTAATGACTAGGTTAGAATATGGAGTAAAACTCCCAGGGAACCTGGGGAGGGAGTCAGGACAAGAACCATGTGGCCTGGTGCCTAGATTTGCTCTTCTCCAAGACCTTAGGGGTAAGCTTTTTTTTTTTTTTTTTTTTTTCTTCCTTCTCTCCTTAGGCATGGAAATCTAAGGTCTTTCCAGAATACCACAAGACTACTTGATATCATAATAAAACACCGTAGATATGATGCTGAGTAAGAGTAGAAATGGGAAGACCTGGTTGTGGAGAAACTAAGTTCTTAAAAGGAGGAGATGCTTGATGAGGGTGAGTGGATTACATCTCAGTTTAATAGCCAATGGAAACTAAAAGCAAATGGCTGAGTGGAATATGTTTACACAAATTGAGCAAAATGTTGGGGAGCCATAGTTTCTGGTGTCTTTGTCTCTTCATGGCCTTTTTTTTTACAAACGTGTAGTGATGTATCTGTAAAAATTCTACAAAAAACTGATAGTGTCTACTTTACTAAAGTAATATTTCTGAGGCCCTATATTAAGATTTACCTTTATTTTTATTGAATGCGTGAAATGTTGAGATATAGGACTTAGTACTGGGCCAGGCAAGGTGGCTCTCGCCTGTAATCCCAGGACTTTGGGAGGCCGAGGCAGGTGGATCACGAGGTCGGGAGTTCGAGACCAGCCTGACCAACATGGTGAAACTCCATGGGCGTGGTGGCACACGTTTGTAATCCCAGCTACTCAGGAGGCTGAGGCAGGAGAATTCCTTGAACCCAGGATGCAGACCTTGCAGTGAGCTGAGATCCCACCACTGCGTGCCAGCCTGGGCCACAGAGCAAGACTCTGTCTCAAAGAGAAAAAAAAAAAAAAAAAAAGACTTAGTACTGGTGACATTCTAATAAAATCATTCTCCTCAAATGTTTGTTAAAATACACACTTGGGGTGGCTGGGTGCGGTGGCTCAGGCCTGTAATCCCAGCACTTTGGGAGGCTGAGGCAGGCAGATCATGAGGTCAGGAGATCCAGACCATCCTGGCTAACACGGTGAAAACCTGTCTCTACTAAAAAAAAATACAAAAAATTAGCCGGACGTGGTGGCGGTCGCCTGTAGTCCCAGCTATGTGGGAGGCTGAGGCAGGAGAATGGCGTGAACCCGGGAGGCGGAGCTTGCAGTGAGTGGAGATGTGCCACTGCACTCCAACCTGGGTGACAGAGCGAGACTCCGTCTCAAAAACAAAAACAAAAAAACAAAACACACACTTGGTGTGATCCAAATCACAGTGTACACAGTAATCCACTTTTAATACAGAACAAGATTCCTGATGAGAGCAGGTGGTTTAGACCTTGGTTTGATTTGAACTGGAAACCAAAAGAAAAAGCTCAGCAGTAAGACCAGCTGGCTGCAAACTGGGCTAAATATAAGGCACCCATTCTGCAGGGCCTTTGTCTACAGGTGGCATTTTCTCAGACAGGAGGGGCGGAAAAAGAGGGCTCTGGAAAAGGGCTTCTTTGCATATCTGAAGCCCTACTGCCATCGTGAGGATGTTGTTTAACAAATCCCTAAGCCATTATGACAGTGTTCTCCTGAGGACTACCTGTTGGGGAAGTTCTCTGTGGGGAGGTGGAAGAGGCTTGCTCCATGCTGGGAATCCTAGCTTTCTCATCTAAGGCCTTAAAGGACACCGGGACTTTGGTGGTGTCTTGGTATAGAACCTGGAGTGTGAAGGTTCTACTAGCAAAGCCTATAAACTCCCCTGGGAATAAATCTGTTTGTGCGCGGTACTGGTGCTACCAGAGACCCAAAGACCCGTAGCAAGATGGTAGTACGAGAAAGCCTACTGACTCTTGCTCCAAGGGACAGGAAGAAGAGACAGATGCCCACGAGAACCTCCATGTGTGTTTGAATGGGTTCCTGCAGTCCTGCCCACACCTGGAGGAACCGAGGCCCCGCCCCACCTCTTCCTGTGCCAGGATCGCCTGGCAGCTGCTGGTTCACTCTAAGCCCCTCACTCTCCAGGTTCTACACCAAGATACCACCAATGTTAAGCCCTTTCTTCAGGCCATAGAGGAGAAACCAAGAAGACCTAGCCTGGAGCCCAAGCGTCTGCCACCTCCCACAGTTCAGACTTCCCCCACAGCAACTCTTTCCGGGAAGGACGCTGTAATGGCGTTTTTAAACGATTTCCTCACGGTGGCAGTAGTGCTCCACATTGTCAAGGAATCCCTATCTTGGAGCCCTTTCCTCCCGCCCTTCCTGTCTGAAAAAACGCCACCCAGAGACAAAGGCGCCACCCAATATGGCTGCCTGGAGATTTGTCCAGTTTGGTGCAACCTGGTCTTACTGTTGCATTTTTCCTTTTTTTTTTTTTTTTCCATCTAAAAGCAAAATGAGGTCTAAACCACCCAAGCTTCTCAAGAATTCTGTTCTTTCAGAAATTAAATATACTCTTCACTGAATCGATATGGGTATGATTTACCTCACACAGTTACAGGTCCTGGAAGTTCCATGGTATCAAATTGTCTCTTTCAGATGATAAATTGGGTGGATGAAGGTACAAAAACAAAGACAGATGTCTAACAGATAGATATCAAAGAGATAGAAAACCAATTCATGAAATTCGAAACTCTAAGTGAAAGAAGCAGGACTGAAGCAGGAGATGTAAAAGCAAAAAAAAAAAGAGAGAGAAAAACTAGTTCTCTGTGCTGGGCTGACTCACTCCAAGGCAGGACTCTGTCAGGACTTTGATAGCACTCTCAGCAGAGCAGGGGCCCAGAAGGAATGGGCTTTAGAAGCAGGGATAAGAAAAGCAAGTGCTTTGGCCAGGCACGGTGGCTCACACCTGTAATCCCAGCACTTTGGGAGGCTGAGGCAGGTGGATCACCTGAGGTCAGGAGTTCAACACCAGCCTGGCCAACATGGTGAAACTCTAGTAAAAATACAAAAATTAGCCAAGCATGTTGGCAGGCAGCTGTAATCCCAGCTACTTGGAAGGCTGAGGCAGGAGAATCGCTTTAACCAGGGAGGAGGAGGTTGCAGTGAGCCAAGGTTGCGCCATTGCACCCCAGCCTGGGGAACAAGAGTGAGACTCTATCTCAAAAAAAAAAAAAAAAAAACACAGAAAAGGAAAACAAGTTATTTTTATCAGTTTCCCTTTTGAAATTCTTTCCCTGTACCATTGTTCTTTGTTCTGCTCTCACAACTATTTTTATAACTATTTCTGCAAGCTTGTAAGGATTTTGTAAGTTCCTGTTTTCTAGCTGTGCAGTTATGGCGAAGGTCACAAGACATGCCTGAGTTGTAAAACCTGTCACTGTTTGATAAACTGCCTTTGTTCTGCTTCTGTAAGCTTGCCTACCTGCTTTACAGGTTTTGGGCCCTTTTCAGATATATGTATAAAAGTCAAGCCCTGTCTTGGTTCGGGGCTCAGCCTTTGGACATTAATCTGCTGTGTTGGTGACCACCTAGTAAAATCCTCCTATTCCACCTGTTGGTCTCTCTGGTCTCCTGATTCTGGCAACAAGACCAACAAGGCCACTTGTGATGATCAGTAGTGAGGGAAATCAGATGAGTGTTTGCCAGGGACTGGGCAGAGAGTGGAATGGGGAATGGCTAACTGATGGGTCCAGGATTTTCTTTTGTGGTAATGAAAATGATTTGCCACTACACAGTGGTAATGCTTGCACTGCATTGTGAATGTCCTAAATGCCACTGAATTTAATACATTTTAATGGTTAATTTTATGTTACATGAAGTTTACAAACTCAGTTTTAAAAAGTGCCAATACTTTTAAAGCTATCATTATTTCCATGAATTATTAATTATATTTCAAAAATACTCCAGTTATCAGTGAAAAAAACCTTGTTTTAACAGTTATGGTACATGGTGGCCAGTCAAGGTGCCTCATGCCTGTAATCCTAGCACTTTGGGAGTCCAAGATGGGAGGATCGCTTGAGGCCAGGAGTTCGAGATCAGCCTATTCAACAGAGTGAAACCCCATATCTAAAATTAAAAATACAAAACAACAACAACAATAACAACAACAAGTTATATTACAGGGGAATATGATCATTAGTTTATAAAAGTCCATATTATATATGTATAGGGAACAGATCATATTACCTAGCACAGACATTTTAAAAGTGATTATTTCTTCTCACTATGTTTGACCTACCACAAGTTTTCTACTTTATAGTTTCTTACAGTTCTTCTAGAGTAAAATATAAAAAATTTCAAGCACTCAAAAGTATGTACTGATGTAGATATATTCAAAGAGTATAAGGTAATGGTGAATATATATGTGTGTGTATACGTATATACACACATACATGTACATATACGTATATGTGTGTATATATATTTTAGACAGCGTCTTACTCTGTTGCCCAGGGTGGACTGCAGAAGCATGATCATGGCTCACTGAAGCATCAACCTCCATGGGCTCAGGTGATCCTCTCGTTTCTGCCTCCTATGTAGCTAGGGCTTCTCTTGTAGGTCACCATGCCCGGCTATTTTTTGTATTTTTTGTAGAGATGGGGTCTCTCTGCATTGTCAGGGTTGGACTTGAACTCCTATGCTCAAGCTATCCACCTGCCTAGGCCTCCCAAAGTGCTGGAATTACAGTTGTGAGCCACCATGCCCAACCAATGCCATATATTTTTAATCGTGGTAGGTGTTATAGTGAGTATATATTTGAAGATGATATTTTTGGCCAGTAAATTCATATATTTAATTCCTCGTTATATAAACAGAGACACTAATGAAGCGCTCTAGCTGCATGTAAGTTTTGTGAATGCATCCATCTTACAGTTTTCTTAGGTTACACATCTAGGTGACTGAATATGAGAGATGCCTATTTCAACTACCATTTATTGAATTTTGTTATCTTTCTTTTGAATTTTTTTTTTTTTTTTTTGTGAGACGGAGTCTCGCTCTGTCACCAGGCTGGAGTGCAGTGGCACAATCTCGGCTCATTGTAACCTCTGCCTCCTGGGTTCAAGTGATTCTCCTGCCTCAGTCTCCTGAGTAGCTGGGACTATAGGCATGCACCACCATGTCCGGCTAATTTTTTTGTATTTTTAGTAGAGACAGGGTTTCACCATGTTGGCCAGGCTGGTCTCGAATTCCTGACCTTGTGATCCGCCCACCTCAGCCTCCCAAAGTGCTGGCATTACAGGTGTGAGCCACTGCGCCCAGCCTGAAATTTTAAAGATAATGTTTTGTGCTAAGAACTAGGAATAAAAATTTGAGAAGTATTAAAAATCCTGATTTTCAGAGGTATAAATATGTATAATACATATGTTTATGTTGTGTATAAATATGTATAATACATGTTTATGTTGTATATACATATGTATTTATATGTTTATGTATGTATAAATACATATATATTTTCGATTTAAAGGTGCAAATTGAGATCTTATGTTTTGATGAATAGGCCAATCACAAGTTCTCAGCAAATATTTTATTGTCTAAAATTCAGATATTGCAAATTTTTTATGAGAATATCAAAAACTCCTAAGGAATCAGTGGTGAAACTTTTAGTTCTTTAACCTTATATATAGTTAAATTGAAGTAAAATGTAAATTTATTGTCATGTTTGACTGTATATATAGAACTTTTTATTTGTGTAGGAAAAAAATTGGAGTAAATATGGAAATGGTTAATATTGTTTAATACACAGTTTTATTACATTGGTTTTCTCTGGATCAGCATATGGTTATTTTTTTTTTTCCTTTTTTTTTTTTTTTTTTTTTTTGAGATGTAGTTTTGCTCTTGTTGTGCAGGCTGGAGTTCAATGGCGTGATCTTGGCTCACTGCAACTTCTGCCTCCCAGGTTCAAGCGATTGTCTTGCCTCAGCCTCCCGAGTAGCTGAGATTACAGGCATGTGCCACCACGCCCGGCTAATTTTGTATTTTTAGTAGAGATGGGGTTTCACCATGTTGGTCAGTCTGGTCTCGAACTCCCGACCTCAGGTGATCTGCCCTCCCAGGCCTCCCAAAGTGCTGAGATTACAGGTGTGAGCCACCGTGCTCAGCCCCCCCGCCCCTTTTATTTCTTGAGAGGGAGTCTCACTCTGTTGTCAAGCTGGAGTGCAGTGGCACGAACTTGGCTCCCTGCAACCTTCACCTCCCAGGTTCAAGTGATTCTCCTGCCTTAGCCTCCCGAGTAGCTGGGACTATAGGTGCACACCACCAGGCCCAGCTAATTTTTGTGTTTTTAGTAGAGACAGGTTTTCACCATGTTGGTGGGATGGTCTCAATCTCTTGACCTTGTGATCCGCCTGCCTCCGCCTCCCAAAGTGTTTTTTTTTTAACTTCATTGCAAATTCCATGTCTTCCTCACTAATAAGAAAGTATAGGACTGATTCCTAAGTGAAAAACAGTAAGACACATATACAACAAAGTCATAAGAGGCAGTCCTAAGTCATAGTTTTTTTTTTTGTTCGTTTGTTTGTTTGGTTTTTTTGAGGCAGAGTCTTGCTCTGTCACCCAGGCTGGAGTGCAGTGGTGAGATCTCCACCCACTGCAAGCTCCGCCTCCCGGGTTCATGCCATTCTCTTGCCTCAGCCTCCCAAGTAGCTGGGACTACAGGTGCCCGCCACCATGCCCGGCTAATTTTTTGTAATTTTAGTAGATATTTTCCTCTTGTTGCCCAAGGGACAACTCTTGCTCCAAGGGACAGGAAGAAGAGACAGATGCCTACAAGAGCCTCAATATGTGTTTGAGTGGGTTCCTGCAGTCCTGCCCACATAGGAGGAACTGAGGCCCTGCCCCACAACGGCGTTTCACCATCTCAGCCAGACTGCTCTCAATCTCCTGACCTGGTAATCCGCCTGCCTCGGCCTCCCAAAGTGCTGGGACTACAGGCGTGAGCCACCCGGCCTGGCCATAGCTTTTTTTGCTTTGTTTTGAGACGGATGGAGTCTCACTTTGTTACCTGTGGTGGAGTGCATTGGCACGATCTTGGCTCAGTGCAATCTCTGCCTTCGGTTCAAGCGATTCTCCTGCCTCAGCTTCCCAAGTAGCTGGGATTACAGGCATGTACCACCATCCCTGGCTAATTTTTTTTTTGTATTTTAGTAGAAACAGGGTTTCACCATGTTGGCCAGGCTTGTCTCAACCTCCTGACCTCAGGTGATACACCCACCTTGGCCTCCCAAAGTGCTGGGATCACAGGTGTGAGCCACCACACCCAGCCAGTCATAGCCTTTTAATGACACTGGAAAATATTTCTGTTCCAATGTTAAATAATGAAACCATGAGACAAAATCCTGTGATCCATCTGATTAGCATTTATAGTCATTTGTTTGTATCCATTCAAATAGGGCTATGTATGTCTTGTCAGATTTGAGAGCTATATGGGCACTTATGTTATAGCCCCACTAAACAGCAGTCTCCTTGTCAACATATAAGGCCTAATGACTAGGTCAGAACATGGAGTAAAACTCCCAGGGAACCTGGGGAGGGAATCAGGACAACAACCATGTGGCCCGGTGCCTAGATTTGCTCTTCTCCAAGACCTTGGGGATAAGCTTTATTTTTTCTTCTCTCCTTAGGCATGGATCCTTAAGGTCTGTTCCCAATACAACAAGACTATCTGTTATCGTAATAAAACACTGCTGATAGGATGCTGAATGAAAAACAGTAGAAATGGGGAGATTTGGTTGTGCAGAAACTGAGTTCTTAAAAAGAGGAGATGCTTGATGATGGTGAGTGGATCTCATCTCAGTTCAATATCCAATGGAAGCCAAAAGCAAATGGTTAAGAGTGGAAAATGGTTACACATATTGAGCAGAATATTAGGTATTTGTGCTTTCTGTTCTCTTTGTCTCTTCATGGCATTTTGTTTTGAAACGTATAGTAATGTATCTTTAAAAATCCAAACAAAAAGGTGATAAGTGTCTACTTTTCTAAAGTAATATTTGTGAGGCCCTATTTTAAGGTTTACCTTTACTCATATTGAAGGCGTGAAATGTTGACATATAAGACTTAGTAGTGGTGACATTCAAATGAATTCACCTCCTCAAAGGTTTGTTAAAATGCACACTTGATCTGATCCAAACCACAGTGTACACAGTAATCCACTTTTAATACAGATTTATTTTTTTCATGAAATTAACAATGTATGTATGTATTTAAAGATATCCCTGGAAATAATCCAAAAGTTCTTAAGTTGCCTTGACTGGTTGTATGGTAGTGGTCTTCTTCATTATTAATACATGGATTTTTCTTAATCTTTGTCAAGCATTATTCTTTAATTTACTAGTTAATCCTTATACCTAAAAGACATTATAAAACTGTCAGAGACACACACAAACACAACCACACACAGCCCATAAAGTCTCAGGAAATACCTGAAGAATATGTAATGGCATGGGCACATACTGTGTTTTGATGTTAAATGATGAGACCATGAGATGAAACTCTGATTCACCTTGACAGGAATTAAGCATATGTACTATGAGTATCATGCCATGTGGAGTATACATGGCATGCAGTAAGGAGTGTCACCTGGTTTCTCCTCTAACGGCTCATGCCAAATTGTTTCCTACAATGTATACATAAGGCTCTTAGAATAGGAAGAATTCCGTGGATGCCTGACAAGGGAGCCAGGGCCAAGACCTCTGGGATTTTTAAATTGTTGCTGGAGTTCTTTTCCAAGCTTTCAGCCCTTTTCTCCTTTTTGTGCGTTCATCCACTGAAACTATCCCCTGAAGAAGACAGTTTAATGCCATGGAAATTATTGGACCTGTAACTCTGAAGTAAATCAAACCCACACAGACTAGGTCAGGAGAATAATTTCTTAAAGAACAAGATTCCTGACAAGGGTGGTTGGTTTAGGCCTTGGTTTGATTTCAAGTGGAAAACAAAAAGAAAAAACACAGCAGTAAGACCAGCTGGCTCTAAACTGGGCAAAATAGAAGGCATCCATATTTGGTGGCTCTTTGTGTATGTGTGGCGTTTTTTCAGACAGGAAGGGCGGGAGAAGAGGGCTACAAACAGGGCTTCTTGACATATCTGGAGCACTACTGCCATCGCGAGGAAGACTTTTAACAAATTACAGTCGTTTACCGCCATTACAGAGTTCTCTGAGCACTACCTGTTGGGGTAGGTGTGGTCTGGTAAGAGGTGAAAGAGGCTTGGCCTCCATGCTGGGCGTCCTTGCCTACTTGTCCAGGGCCTTAAAAGAGACCTGGACATTGGCAATATCTTGCTATAGAACCTGGAGTGTGAAGGTTCTAATAGCAAATACTGTAAACTTCCCTTGGAATAAACCTGTTGTTTGTGCGCGGTACTGATTCTATCAGAGACCCAAAGACCCATAGCAAGATGCCAGCATGAGAAAGCTTGCTGACTCTTGCTCCAAGGGACAGGAAGAAGAGACAGATGCCTACAAGAGCCTCAATGTGTGTTTGAGTGGGTTCCTGCAGTCCTGCCCACATAGGAGAAACTGAGGCCCCGCCCCACAACTTCCTGTGCCAGGACCGCCTGGCAGCTGCTGGTTCACTTCAAGCCCTTCACTCTCCAGGTTCTACACCAAGATACTACCAATGTCTAGGTCACTCTTCAGGCGTTAGAGGAGAAGGCAAGAAGACGTCACCTGGAGGCCAAGCATCTTCCACTTCCCCATAGATCAGCCTTTCCCCGCAGCTAGGCTTCCTGGGAAGGAGGCTGTACTGGAGTATTCTTTCTTTAAACGATTTCCTCACGGTGGCAGTAGTGCTCCACATTTTCAGGGAAGCCCTATCTTTGAGCCCTTTCTCCTGCCCTTCCTCTGTGAAATAAGCAAACCAGAGATAAAGGCGCCACCAAACATGGCTGCCTGGAGACTTGTCCAGTTTGGTGCAACGTGGTCTTACTGTTGAATTTTTTTTGTTTGTTTTTGTTTTCCATTTAAAAACAAAATGCAGCTTAAACCACCCATGCTTATGGAATTTTGTTCTTTCAGAAATTAAATACACTCCTCACTGAGTCTATCTGGTTAGATTTAGATTTACTTCACACAGTTGCAGGTCCAGCAAGTTCCATGGCATCAAATTGTCTCCTTCAGGTGATAAATTGGGTGGATGAAGTTACAACAGCAAAGATAGATATCCAAGAGATAGATATCAATAAGATAGATAACCAATGCATGAAATTTGAAACACACTAAGTGAAAAAAGCAAGACTTTGAAAAAGCCACTTATTGTGATGATCAGTAGTGAGGGAAAGTAGATGAGTGTTTGCTAGGGGCTGGGCAGAGAGTGGAATGGGGAATGACTGCTTCATGGGTCCAGGGTTTTCTTTTGTGGTAATGAAAATGATTTGCCACTAGATAGAGGTAGTACTTGTACTGCATTGTGAAAGTACTAAATGCCACTGAATTTCACACATTTTAATGGTTAATTTTATGTTATATGGATTTTACCAACTGTTTTAAAAAGTGCCAGTGATTTTAAAGCTGTCATTATTTCCATGAATAATTAATTCTATTTGAAAAGTACTCAAGTTATCAGTGAAGAAATCTTGTTTTAACAGTTATACTACAAAGTGGCTGGGCTTGGTGCCTCATGCCTGTAATCCTAACACTTTGGGAGGCTGACATGGGAAGATTGCTTGAGGCCAGGAGTTCGAGATCAAACTGGTCAACCTAGGGAAACCCCATATCTAACATTGAAAAACAAAAACAGTTGTGCTACAGGGGAATTTGAACATTAGGTTATAAAAGTCCATATTATATGTGCATAATGAACAGATGAAAATACCTAACACAGACATTTTATTTTATTTTATTTTATTTTTTTTATTTTTTTTTTTTTTGAGACGGAGTCTGGCTCTGTCACCCAGGCTGGAGTGCAGTGGCCTGATCTCTGCTCACCGCAAGCTCGGCCTCCCGGGTTTACGCCATTCTCCTGCCTCAGCCTCCCCAGTAGCTGGGACTACAGGCGCCGCCACCTCGCCCGGCTAGTTTTTTTTTATACTTTTTAGTAGAGACGGGGTTTCACCGTGTTAGCCAGGATGGTCTCGATCTCCTGACCTCGTGATCCGCCCGTCTCGGCCTCCCAAAGTGCTGGGATTACAGGCTTGAGCCACCGCGCCCGGCCAACACAGACATTTTAAAAGTCATTATTTCTTCTCACTATATGAGACCCAGCATGTTTTCTGCTTTATAATACCTTAAAGTTCTTCTAGAGTAAAATATAAAAAAATTTCAAGTACTCAGAAGTATATATGGATGTAGATATATTCAAGGAGTATAAGACAATGCTGAAGATTTTGTACAAATTTCAAACAGTATGCATGCAAATTATATTTAAACTGTGTTGAGTGTGTGTGTATTTATATCTGTAGGTATATAACAATATTTTAAATATATATATGATTGTGTCTTACTGTTGCCCAGGCAAGAGTGCAATGGCATGATCATGGCTCACTAAAGAATCAACCTCCCTGGACTCAGGTGGTCCTCCCACCTCTGCCTCCTACATAGCTGGGCTTCCGTTACACGCCACCATGCCCGGTTATTTTTTGTATTTTTTGTAGAGACGGGGTCTCACTACATTGCCAGGACTGGTCTTGAACTCATGGGCTCAAGCTATCCACCTACCTTGGCCTCCCAAAGTGTCGGGATTACAGTAGTGAGCCACTGGGCCCAGCCAATGCTATATATTTTTAATCATGGTAGGTGTTATAATGAGTATATGTTTGAAGATGATATTTTTGGCCAACAAATTCAAAACTTTAATTCATCATTATATAAACAGAGACACTAATAAAGCATTCTAGCTGCGTGTGAGTTATGTGAATGCATCCATCTTACAGTTTTCTTAGGTTACACATCCAGGTGACTGAATGTGAGAGATGCCTATTTCAGCTATCATTTATTGAATTTTGTTGTCTTTCTTTTGAGATTTCAAAGATAAAATTTTAAGGAAAGAATTAATAAAAATTTGAGAAGAATTACACATCCTAATTTTCTAGGTATAAGTGTGTATAATACATATGTTTATATTACATATAAACATGTATTTCTATTTTATGTGTGTATAAATATATATATATTTTAGATATAAAAGTGAAAATGGAGAACTTATGTTTTGATGAATAGTCCAATCAAGAAGTTTTTGCAAATATTTTATTGTCTAAAATTCAGATATTGCAACTTTCTTATGAGAATTAAAAAACTCAGGAATCAGATGTGAAACTTTTAATTCTTGAACCTTATATATAGCTAAATTCAATTAAAATGTAAATTTATTGTGGTGTTTGACTATATATATAGAACTTTTTATCTGCGTGTTGAAAAAATGAGAGGAAATATGGAAACAATGATCATTGTTTAATACAGTTTTATGAGATCAGTACATGGTTATTTTTAACTTCTTTGCAAATTCCATGTCTTTGTTACTAATGAGAAAATATAGGACTGATTCCTAACTGAAAAACAATATGACACACAAGAAAGTCATAGGGCACAGTTCTAAGTGACAGCTGTTTAATGACACAGGAAAATATTTCTAATTCAATGTTAAATAATGAAACTATGAGACAAAATCCTGTGATCAATCTGATTAGTATTTACAGTGATTCCTGTGTTTGTGTCTATTCAAGTAGGGCTGTGGGTGTCTTGTCAGGCTTGAGAGCTATCCGTACCCTTATGTTAGTGCCCCACTAAATAGCGTCCTCCCCCTCAATGTATAAGGCCTACTGACTAGATCAGAACATGGAGTAAAACTCCCAGGGAACCTGAGTAGAGAATCAGGACAAGAACCACATGGCCTGGTGACTAGATTTGCTCTTCTCCAAGCCTTTAGAGGTAAGCTTTTTTTTTTTTTTCTTCTCTCCTTAGGCATGGAAACCTAAGGTTTCTCCCCATTACTACAAGACTATTTGATATCACAATAAAATACTGCAGATATGATGCAGAGTGAAAAAGAGTAGAAATGGGAAGACTTAGTTGTGCAGAAACTAAGTTCTTAAAAAGATGAGATGCTTGATGAGGGTGCATGTATTACATCTCAGTTTAATATCCAATGGAAACCAAAAGCAAATTGTTAAGAGTGGAAATTGTTTACACAAATTGAGCAAAATTTTAGGTAGCCATAATTTCTGATGTCTTTGTCTCTTCATGAACTTTTTTTCAGAAACTTGTAGTGATGTAGCTGTAAAAAATCAAAGAGCTGATATTGTCTGCTTTACTGAAGTAATTTTCCTGAGGCCGTATGTTAAGATTTACCTTTATTTATATTGAAGGCATGAAATGTTGACATATAAAACTTAGTACTGGTGACATTCAAATGAATTCATGCATCTGAAAGGTTCATTAAAATACACACTTGATCTGATTCAAACCATGGTGTACACAGTAATCTACCTTTTATACAGATTTATCTTTTTGCACGAAGTTAATGTATGCACATATTGAAAGATATGCATGGAAATAATTCATAAGTTCATGAGTTACCTTGACAAGTTGTATGGTAGCAGTTTTCTACGTTATTAATACACAGATTTTTCTTAATATTTGTCAAACATTATTCTTTAATTTACTAGTTGGAGAATACTGTAATCCTTATACCTGAAAGACCAATTATAAAACTCTCAGAGAGACACACAAACACAAACACACACCCCATAAATTCTCAGGAAATACTTGAAGAATATGTAAAGGCATGTGCACATGCTGGGTTTTGATGTTAAATGATGAGACCATGAGATGAAACTCTGAGCCACCTTGACAGGAATTGAACATATGTACTATGAGTATCATGGCATTTGGAGTACATATGGCATGCAGTAAGGAGCGTCACCTGGTTTCCTCTCTAATGGCTCATGCCAAAGTGTTGCCTACAGTGCATCACATAAGGCTCTTAGAATAGGAAAAATTCCCTGGATGCCTGACAGGGGAGCCAGGGCAAAGACCTCTGGGATTTTTAAATTGTTTGCTGGAGATCTTTTCCAAGCGTTCAGCCCTTTTCTCTCTCTCTCTCTTTTTTCTTTCTTTCTTTCTTTCTTTTTTTTTTTGAGACACTCTCACTCTGTTGCCAAGGCTGGAGAGCAATTGCGCGCCCTCCACTTGCTGCAACCTCCCCCTCCCGGGTTCAAGTGATTCTCCTGCCTCAGCCTCCCAAGTAGCTGGGTTTACAGGCGTGTGCCACCATGCCCAGCTAGTTTTT